CTATCTATCTATCTATCTATCTATCTATCTATCTATCTATCTATCTATCTATCTATATTTGTATGGTCTCCCATCTCACAAGAGCATATCATACCAATAATGAAAAGGAGTATTGTAATATACTACCAACAGCTACCAGGCGAGGTTGCACAAGCAACTATTAAATGGCAGCCAAAAGACAAAGAAAACTCTCATTCACTGCTGCAATCTAGTTTTGCAACCCAGATCTGGTACTCCTTTTTTGGGTGTGTGCCTTTGAGTCAATCTTGACCTCTGGTAACTGCCTGGACTAGTCTCCACAGTTTAATTGGAAGATTTTCAGAAGTGGTTTGCCCTTGCCTCCTTCTTAGAGCTGAGAGAAAGTGACTAGCCCAAGGTCACCCAGCTGGCTTTGTGCCTAAGGCAGGACTAGAACTCACTGTCTCCCGATTTCTAGCCTGGTGCCTTAACTACTACACCAAACTGGCTCAGTATTAGATCCAACAAGAAAAAGGGAAAAGCCCTACACAAGTCTCCAAAAGGAAAAGGAGATTAAAAACTTACAGGCTTTCCCAAGTTAGATATATACATATATTGTAATTATTATCCCTTTCCTGGTGATGAAACAACCTGTGGGTTGTTTGTTTTACAGTTATAGTAGTAAAATTATTACTAGTACTACTAGTGCAATTTTTATCATTTTAAAATCTACTATAATAAATATGCAGGCTGCAAATCCCCAAACTACATTCGCTGAAAGGAATGGATTGACTGACCTTGCATTAGATACTAAAAATGATTATTCTCCTGTTAATAATATATATGTTTCTAACTATACATTAAATGAAAGTCCTCTCAGTAAAAGTGCATTACATGCTGGATTTTTTCCTTTGCTTGTTTTGTTTTTATATAGAGAAAATGGCCCTTTGGGCTTTGGTGTTATAGAATCATAAAATGTTAGAGTTGAAATTGCTCTTGGACATAATCTACATACTCCAGTTCCCTGTTCTGCGTAGGGAATAGCTTCACTTGTGGATAACAGACACAATATTTTTGACAAAACAAACATGAGGAAAACTGAAAAGTCCTGTGTCAAGTTCAATAAAATGCCAATTTATCTGACAAAGTGTTAGACCACGCAAGGATCTGTAAAATTATAAAACACAGATCCCAGGGAAGACTTCTCCAGGACTGTCTGCAATATTTCCACTTTTTCTTTTTTTAATTGAATCTCCCTACTGCAAAAGGGAGATCACAACTTGACCTACATAAGTAGATATTGCTTCCTAATATTTTATAATTTCTCAAAATAGCTTTTAAAACTGTAGAACGTGAACAAAAATAGGAACTGAAGATACTCATTCTTCCCTGCTTGATTATTTCTTGATTCCCATATGGAAATACCTTGAAAAAAAATCTCATCCAAATTCCACGTTAAAAAATCTAGCATTCTTAGTTGATTTGTCTGAATCCTTGAAACATGGATGCTATAGTGTTCATAACACTGGCTATACACTTCTTATAGCATCACTCCAAATACAGACTTTTTGGAAGCATACAGAATACAGGTAGATTCAAATCAATGATTTGAAAATTTAGCTTTATCATTCCACTTGCTAAGTTGATGGGGGCTTTGTACCGTCCAGTAAAGAGGTCTTATTTTAAATATCTCCCTTACCTAAAATAATTGCTTGCTGCTGCAAGGACCACACGGTGGCACGAGAATTGCATGCTGCCAACACACAGGGTAACGTCTGTGAGAGAGTTTTCTAGACGGAGATTCTCCAAGCCATTCTGTAGGACCATGGATAAGCCTGTATCATTAAATTTAACCCTTTCATTGAGAGAAACTTCCATAAATTCTCCCATGTTCCTGGTACATTCATTTTCCAAAGGCAATATAGATTGATCTTCCAAGTCCTTCTTCACCATGTCCCCCATGTTTGATCACCAGCAGCATTTCATGCCATTGATACTTCAATTAAAGATAGTTTCTGAGCTTTAGACAAGTCACGCTGCAGAAGTAAGACGGATTTCCTGTGAGGGCCTCCCCACTTATCTACAGCTGTCACACTCACATAACAGGAAGCCTTGCACTTTCTCATCCTGTTAACACAAACAAAGTCAGTTGTTTTCTAAATCTTATATATTTCAAGTAGTTTTTGTATACCTAAAGAAGACTTTCAGATGCCTCTGAATATGAGAAGACTACAATTTATAGCGAATAGTATTAAAGCTGTTCTGAAATTTCCCCCTTTTTTTCTTTTTTGCAGTGTAATTTGACTGAAATTAATTTAAATATATTTGAGAGATATAATAAAGGAATTGCCCAGATATGTTAAGCCTTTTCAACACCTAACGTGAGCACATGTATAAGGAAATGTGCAGTGAAAATAAACCTTGCACCTATCAGCATTTTAGATTCAAATAACTATTGGCACTGAGATACAGTGTTTCTCACTAGCATGTGAATGTCAACAATATTATATTCAGGATATCTATGTATTAATTTTTAAGGGAAGATGATAAGTTACTAAAATTGTTTATTCTTGTGATGAAGGGGGAAGTCATTTCTTTATATATTTCTTTTCTTTTTCTTTACTATATTCTTATTTTTAGAAAAAGAAAAGAAATATATAAAGAAATGACTTCCCCCTTCATCACAAGAATAAACAATATTATATTCAGGATATCTATGTATTAATTTTTAAGGGAAGATGATAAGTTACTAAAATTGTTTATTCTTGTGATGAAGGGGGAAGTCATTTCTTTATATATTTCTTTTCTTTTTCTTTACTATATTCTTATTTTTTCTTTCTTTTCTATTTTTCTTTCTTTTTTTCTTTTCAGCACTTTCTATTTTCTTGTTATTATTTTTTAGTTTGTATTAGCTTTTATCTTTTTAATTGTAATTTTTAATAAAATTACCATAAAAAGAAAGGATATCTATATATTAACTACAGCTAAACCTTTTAGTATGTATTTATTTTATATATTTATAATCATCTAAATCCACTTTTCATTTAAAGTAATCCCAATATTATAATACATATCAATGCCAGCCATAATATCAATGCAACACATAGGGTACATTGCAATACTTGATATATTGGCAATATTAAGGAGAAAAATACAAACTTGGTAGGTTTTATGCTGGTATGACTTCCACAACTGAGGGATCATTTGCATGTCCTGCTTGTCCCAGTACAAAAACACTGCATCAACCTTTTCTTGAGAAATATACACATGATGGCACCCTCAAACTACCACTTGTCCACCTCAAAGGAAGCCTCAGTTTGTTATTTCTCACTGCCCTTCAAAAGTGTGTTTTTCTCACTTCTGTTGTTACAAGTGACAAGTGGTCAGTTTGTGGCAAATCATTTGGTAAGTCTGGGGACCACATAAACCTTAGCCACTGGTTTTCAGGGGCATTTGCCTTTTGGCTGCAGAACAGTCAGAGCTCTGACACTGTGCCAGAAAACCCTTTCCCCCACATCTCTTGCCAATCCATGAGTAGCAGAGAAGACAGGGAGAGAAGGAGAGGAAATGAGTCAATTCTCCAACTTCCATGGGATTGGAAAAGGGGTCTTCCTCCCCCACCTTTTCCTCTCCTTCTCCTGTCACCCATAGGTGGGGGGAGGGGAGAGAAGGATGATTCCTTTGGTCTTACATGGCCATTAGCTGATACCAAAGGGTTGTTCTCTGCCCTACCTCTCTCTCCATGCTGTTTCTGGTGTGAACAGAAGCCCTACTGAAGCAGAGTAGGGTTGGAAGTATGGTACACACTTCTTTAAGTTGGCATAGTTTTCTGTAAGCTCCAGCACTGCATAGCTGAACTTTAGCATTGCTGTATGGAAGAGCACTGAGTCATTATTTTTACATCTTGGGACCTGAGGCTTCTTTGAGATAATATCTAATTTTCTCTCTAAGGCCATCACATCAAATGGAGACTGCCAATCCCATCCTCAGACTGCATGGAGATTTCCTTGCCCTTGTTTTTTACCTGTAAGAATCCCTTGTACTGGTGCAGAAACTTTCCACATGACTAGAAGGCTCCAGAATGCAAAATGCACAAGCTGCAACTGCAACACTCAGCAGAAGGCTACAGCAGGTACTATCACCTATAATCCACTCATCAGAGTATGGATTTATAAAAAAAAAAAAGACAAGCTTCTGACAATATTCACCCAGTGATTGATATTTTTGACATCACAGCAGATAAATTGGAATCGGTTCTAATTTTGTTGGATGCTGAAAAGGACTTCAGTTTGGTTCAAACTGAATTTATGAAGTGGGTTCTAAGAAGACAGGGATTTCCACCATCTTTTGTTCACTGAATTACAACTTTGTATCTTCACCCAGTTTTGTTTTTTAGTTTAGTTTTGTTTTGGTGCCTTAGAGTCAGTGTTGACTCCTGGTGACTACCTGGACAAGTCCCTGCAGTTTTCTTGGCAAAGTTTTTGGGAAGTGGTTTGCCATTGCCTCCTTCCTAGGGCTGAGAGAGAGTGACTGGCCCAGGATCACCCACCTGGCTTTGTGCCTAAGCAAGGACTAGAACTCAAGGTCTCCTAGTTTCTAGCCTGGTGTCTTAACCACTCCACCAAACTAGCTCTCTTCACTCATTAGCTAGAGTTATTATGAATTGATTTATTTCTCTACCTATCAACTTATATCATGGCACCTAGCAAGAATACCTCTTCTCTCTTTTAATCTTCAATTTGGTTCTTGAACCATCAGCCTCTTCTGTTAGAGAATCTCAAGATATTAAGAATGTGGTGATGCTCAACGCTGATTATAAATTGTTCTTATATGCTGATGGTATTATGGCTATCCTTGATAATTATGCAATATCATTAACAAAGCTTATTGAAGTTGTAAAGCAATATGATTTAACTCTAACCGTCAAAGAATGTTTAAAGAGAGATGGTTATTAGATTTTTTTATGTTGGTGTTGTAAGAAATTTGAAGGTTCTTTAACTCATGAGATCTGGCCTTGTCCAGCTATAGCCTTGCTTTGGTTTCAAATCACTGCATATGTCAATACAATATTGGGAAGAAATATTAAAGGATCTCAATGTGATATTGCACTATATACCTAAAATATGGAATTTGTCATCTCATGAAGAGCTTTGTCTCTCTTGAGCCTGGGGTACAGCAAAGGGGATAATTTTACATAAATGGAGAGAAACTTATTCTCCTGATTTTAAGGATCCAGGATGTGAGTCTATTTTTGAAAATCTCTTTGTTCTAAAAATGAGAAGATGCAATATGTCTCTAAAGTCTAGATTTAATAATAAGTTAAGGAGTGAATTTATTTTGTATCATCATCTGTAGTTATTAGATGGATCTTTTTTTTTCTGTTAGTTTTCTTTTTTGGACACTGTTTATTTTAATCATTAGAGTATATTTAGGTTTTATTTCTTCATCACTACATTTTTGTTTGTTCTATGGTGCTGTAGTTTTTTATAGTTCACTATTAAATAAACTTTGAGAAATTAAAGCTGCCACTGTCTGCCAATACAGACATTATCATGCAGTATCGTCTTGACAGCAATAAGGTTACGCATCTCTTAGTCTTGGATCGTATAAGAGGAAATTTACTTGTTTCAACGACGTATGAAATTGCGTTGCAAACCATTCGATTAGTGAACTACATCTCCCAAGACGTCTTTCAGCCGGCCCTGCTGAGATTGGCTACCCCGTGCGTGACATCATCTGTTTTGGCTCTGAGAGGTCACATGTTTGGGGTCTCCTTTGTTTAGAGTTGAGCTCGAACTTGAAAAAGACAAAAAGAGCGAGCGAGCTAAGGAGAACGAAGGGGGAGATACCGTTGACTGTTAGTTCCTGGAAAAAGCGACAGACAGGTAAACGTCTCCACTGAACTCGGTTGCTGAATTGCCTGAGGCCAAAAATGTCATTGGGGGCCGGGTTACATTTCTACTTGAGCAGAAACACGTTTAAAACAATAATAATGCCATTAATCTTAAACAGCTCGAGTTTAGTGCTGACACTCCTTGTTTGATGATAAAACATATGATCCCCCCCCCCACCCGTATCTCCGTCCGCTCCGTCTTTCCGT